CTCCGCTCTGCTCCGCTTCGATCCAGCGTCTGTCCCGATATGGTATATGAGCCATACCATAACACTTTCTTTTAGAAAGTCTCTAAAATTTTCTAAAGATCGTTGTAGATTTTGAACTCAATTAAAGCCCAATTTATATGAGCTAAAAAGCAAGTTTCATTTTTAGCTAGTTGTATTTACCATCCTTCCGAGTGGAAGCTTTGTGGTAAGAAGTCGGGTTTGTCCGTGGAGCTGTAGTTCAGGGGAGAATCTCTCTCCAGTAAGCTGCTCAAAGGCTTTCCTTGATATCCTGCAAATAAAGGAGTATGGGCTTAATAAGTTTAACTGTTACCATTATAAATTTAAATGCATGTTTTTTTAAAATAGGATTACATTTTAATGCTTAATCCAATTTTTTATTATGGAAGTGCATTAGCTGATTTAAATTGGAAATTATAGTAGATTTTCTTCTGTATTTAATTTCAGATTAAAGCTATTTTGAATTTAAGTTATTCATTAAATTTGAAAAAAAATATTTATGTTTAATCGAGAAAACCAAATTTTATTGATATTAAATCGATTTCACCAATCAGTTACTTCAATAAATTTGATTTTGTCAAATAGATAAGTGAATTATCCAAATTAATTTTAAACAGACAAGTAATGACTGCCAGCTAATATTTATTTATTAGATAAAAATAAAATAAAATAAAAAGCACACTTGCCTGCAAAGTAGAGGGCCGACTCAATCCAGGTCATTTCTGCACAATCCTCTGCCGCCAACTTGAGTTCGGGAAAAAAAATCTTCATTATGAGGAGCAACTCTTTCTTGTCTCCAAGGAACAAGGAGTTGAAAGAAACCTGTAGTCTCTTAATCTTATTCTGACCATCAGCTTCGCAATCGTTTCCCAAAACCTTCCATATCGTTGTTATGAACAGCCTCTTGTCCGCCTTATAAGCCATTCGCTGCCATTTATCCACCACCTTTGTGGCTTCCTCCTCTAAAGTTCTTGAGACTGTGAAAACAGTTACCTTACTCGGAACAGCAACGAGCCTCAGCTTGTAAGCCAGAATCACCCCAAAGCTCGTCTCTCCTCCGCCTCTCAGCGCCCAGAATAGATCTTCGCCCATGGTTCCTCGATTCTTTATTTCTCCGCTTCCCACCACGAATCGGATGTCTTCCACGTTGTCGCTCGCTGACTCGAATGATCTGCATAAATAAATAGCATACGAGTTGAGTCGAGTCGAGTCCAACAACCCTCAATTTTAACTTGAATTTGATTGATTTTATATGGTTCGGAGCCAACTCACAAGCCGAAATAATAAGAAATTAATTAATATAAAATATAAATTCTATTTTATGAATATTTTTAATAATTAAGAAAAATCTTTAAATTTAATATATTTTTTTAAATATATTTAGTATAGTATTTTTTTTTTAACCAGTCAGCTCGTTGAATTGGGACTAGCTTGAAGTTGGCTTGTTAGCTCCTCTGTCTCACTTCACGGGCAAGCCCAAGCCAGCTCATAAGCACCCCTAGCTCCAATCATGCTTATCTTATTATATTCAAAATAAAGACCTGAGCATAGTCCTCAATCCTCCGCCGTTGAATTGTCCGCCTGCACCTAGGGACAGGGGCCGGCGGGGAAGGCGACAGTTCTGCTATGGTTGGCGATGGCGTAGTAGAGCTCGCCGAGAGTGGCTCCGGCATGCACCCAGGCTGTGGGGGAATGTGTATCAATGCTGATGGAAGAGAGGAATTGGAGGTCAATAAGCACAAATCGGCCGGAGGTGGGAACGAAGGACAGATCATCATCGTCATAGCCACCGCTGCTGGTGCGGATAGGGATGGCGAGGCTGCGAGAGCAGAGAACGGCGGCTTGGACGTGGGTTTCGATGGTGGGGACAAAGAGGAGAAGCGGTTTGAAGGAGTTCAGGAGGGTGCGGCTGCTTTGGACGGAGGAGAAGTATTGGTTGTAGAAAGCGGATTGGGGATTGAAGTGTTGTTTGGAGGGAACAGAGTGGTTGCGGAGGCATTGAACGTAGCTGTACTCGTCGTTAATAGTGGACTGATCAACCTTAATGGCGTGGGAGGAAAGTAAAAAGAATAGGAGAAGATTGAAGAGCGGGATGAGGAGGTTCTCCATCACTTTTTGCCTTGTTGGTTTATGGGTTTGGGGTGCATCAAGTTCCCAAGTGTTTAAATAGAAGTGAGATGTTGAAAGTTTTCAAAGTAGATATGAAGATGTTTTTTTTTTTTAATTATGACCAAATCAAGAAGTGGGGATTTAAATATATACATTCGACGTGAAATTTTATGTATTTATATGTTTAATGAATAGGTTTAACTATTTACTTATTATATAAACAAATACAAATATCCAGAAATTTTCACTAATTTTCTTTCACTTAATATAAGACACCTATCTAAGTTGCTAAATCAAGCCCATTTATCAAAATAGTTGAACTGATCTGATCATACTCAGTTTCTTTTAAAAAAACAGCAGCCAATTGGTGCAATTGCAGCTATCATAGAAGATATATAGTGTCCTGGAGCTAGCCTTTGACCTAGCCAAACCTCGTAGAGCAACGATGCATTTTTTACATGCAATTAATTGATATAGTATTGTGACGCTTGGTCTTGGCACCGCGGCACTGAGCCTAGGCGCAATTATACTCATCTAATTCACTTTATACTACACTCGCAACAATGGGTGACAATTTGTTTAATTCAATAATGAGCGTTCTAGCACTTGGTAACGACATTGTGGTGCTAAGACTAGACTCAATCAATTGCTTTTATTTCTCTTGGATCATACTGAATATAGCGGTTAACCATCATTCTAATTGATGGAGAGTAGTAGAGCTAGGGGTCAACACTACAACAAAAGTTTGGTTTTCCGGATTACTTAGTTAACATTAGAAATGTGTTGTTACAAGTGTTCAGGGTTAACGTGTCTAGAGTCTAGGCACCAAAGATGCCTCTATGTCACCATTAAAAGACTACTTGATGTTTTGGTACCATGTTGCAGTATTGTATTATCAGACCCCTTTCATTAGAGGGATAGAGTCATATTTTTGGGGGGACTAAATCGGATGCCCTAGCGCATTGCAAGAAGTTTTGACATCACGATGAACCAAAAATGACGTCAACATTCACATATTTATTATGATTTTACATTAACTAGAATTTTCATCTAAAATCATCATATTTATTTCTTACTAGTTATTATACCGTTGCATACTAATATGTCGGTGAAAACATGCCACAGAAGAAAGAGCTGAATAATTAAGGAGTTTGAGCTTAGAAAATAAGGAGACTGGGAGAAGAAATTGAGCTTTGAATGTATGTGGGTCCTCCCTTTGTTTTATAAATGATCATCTTATTTATAGAAAAATTAATTTGTGTATTAATCAAAGTCAATGCACAAGAATTCCAAAAGGATGAAATCCAGGGCTCATTTGACTGTTTCAAAATATAAAAATATATCTGTTTAAATAATATGATATTGTTATCTATGACCTAGCTTTGATAAAATTTTTGGAGTTAGACATATAGTCATAAGAATCGGGTGATAGGTACGTTAATTTACCTATACAAAAAAATATATTTAATAAAAACTAAACAAAATTTAAAAGAGGAAATTGCATACATACCACCCAACTCTTTTGTGTTTACATATTTAACAACTTAATTTACTTTATATATTTAGACCATCCAAAAATAATTATCATTTAAAAAATATCATTAATTTAACTTTAAAATAACTGAAATACACTTTTTCATGCAGAGAAAAGATGACACATGCAAAAATTGAAGTAGTAGATAGATATGTACAAACATAAGATTTAAGTGAAAAAATAAAAATAAAAGACATTAAAATCTAAATGTTTAGTAAATCTTCCAATTATAAAGTACTTTTAAAGTCTATTCCTACTAGTCATCGATGAACTGTTTTCAATTCTCATCCAATCGGATCTATCTACATGAGTAAAAAACTGTTCTTATACTGTCAAACATATTAAAAATGAGGGGAATTAATAAAATATTTAGGAAAAAGGACATAAAAATGATTTTAGAAATTTATCGCCGTCCGTCCACCATTAACCGAAACATTGCTATTTACAAATCTAACACGCTTTCATTCATCTTCAAATTGTTAGTCAAATAGTAAATTTCATGATAAAAGGACTACTCATACTTTTCATTTTTATCAAATCTCAATGATTTGATCGTGGTATCTGTAGATATATTGGTTTGGTAGTTTAAAAAATAAAATTGGTACTATATTTTGTAAATAATAATGTTTCTGATGCTATGTATGGAATTATCCAATTAAAGTTATGTCAGGATTCAAGATGAAAAAGTGCTCATAAATTATAGAATGTTCGAATTGTGGGGAAATTGAAATTGTGATTTTGAGACATTTTTCTTTTCAAAAAATAAATTATATTATATTTGATCGTTTTGTTTTATTATTATTATTTTTCTTTTATTGAAGTGAGTAATATGAGTAAAGAGTCTAGGATAATATTATTATTGTGATGATGAACGACGAGGGGATTGATGTTGGCATAGATGATGGCAGCTTGTGTTGGCCCAATGACATATCTCAATGGCATGCATCATTCTTATATGTGATTATTTGTGTTGAAGACATAAATCAATCTATAGGCTCCATAATTCTTTAGCTCCCCGTTCTCCACTGAAAACAAAATAGAAATGAAAGTGAACTGAGAATGTGGGAGCTTACTATGAGATTCTGGGTCTAATTTTAAAAAGCAAATGAGATAATAAATATCGCACTACCAAGAGATTATGTCTTCTTTTTGCGAGGATTTTAAAATTCAGAGTTTGAGGTTACCCATAGGCCCAAACCCCTATGATTATTATCCATCCAAACAATATGAGAGCACTTTCAACTAAGGCTAATCTTACGAACCTTGATTGCTCATCACATAGCAATAGTAATTTTAAGATTTTAAATTATGAAATCATCACCGTGAGCTTAGAGTGAATGGTGGAGGAAATAATGATGAACTCTATTAATAAATCACGCATCTGTCATCACGGGTTGTCGTCGTGGCCCCTTGCATACTTAGGCAAAATAGATAGTCAACCCAATATAGCAGAAGAATTCTTATTAACATTTATGGTTTGCTTCGTTTAAAGGAACCATGCAGCCTTGGAGTGGATATTTGTTAGAAGGGACTAATCTAAGTCGGGCATAGCTTACAGAGGACCTATCAAATATTTTTATATACCATATATATGATTCATAACTCAAGTCGGTAAAATATAATTTGGGAATATAGTGGTTGCAGATGTGATTTTCTTATAATGAAATCGATTAGCTAAATCACCCTAGCAAAGTGCTCTGATCGCAACTGCTTCTTTTGTGGAGCTTATTGATCAAACCTCATAGATGGATGACAAGGATCATGCCCTTACTGGGATGAATTATTTTGAGTATAAATTTAGTAGTATATTTAATATAACATTGTCTCTTTGTGAGCGTATGTTACCACTAGATTTGTTACATTCGTTGACAATCTCGGAGGGCGGATGAGTTTTTATTTTTAGCCTTTAAATGATACAATTTATTTCAATATTTTATGTTTTTTTTATTTATTATTTTAATGTCTTTTTATTTTTTGGATAGACTCTTTCGGTTGAAATTTACATTCAACACGATAATTATCAAGAATTGATTGGAATGCTAATTTTATAGTTTAATTTTGTTTAAGAGGAGGATTGGACTGGCTCAATCGGGGCTCGGTCTAGTCAACTCCGGTCATTGTAGGGAGGAAGATTGGATTGGCCAACGGTGTCTGACTTATGATGTTGAGGCAAGATGACTTGCTTTAGAATGTGCATAATTCAAATATTTTTCAATTTTAAATTAAAAAGTGAGATTTTCTTAAGAATTTACGTTTGTTGATACAGATTTGATTATAACATAATATAGAATTAGATAGTACAACATTCACACATCGAATATTCATAACAATAAAAGCATCTATCAAAGCACATGCATGTTTGAAATTTCAGCATGCATGGCTCTAAAAAGTGCTTTAGCTTTGCTGTTAGCATTATTTTTTGAGACTGTTCTATAAATCTTAAAATGCTCAGATGAATTTCAAATTAAGAGCTATGTATATAATAAAAATTAGTGTATGAAGCTCTTATTACATTTGAATTTTTTTAAATTCATGACTATTTGTACTAATTATTGCGCAATTAAATTGCAAGAATAGCTTCACTTTTAAATTCTTCAAATGCCTTATTTGCTTGAATATTAACATTGCGGACCAGGTGGCAAGAAATGTATTATTGATTGTGCATTTTCAATTTTTTAACTTGTTCTCGAATCTATTGAAGCTTAGTGACCCAACAAAATTATACCTATGATCATAAGTAAGCAATTAACTTTATAATAAATTTGATAAGTGTTTTGTTCTAGTCAAAAATTAGATCTTCAAATCATTCAGTACAAGTTCTTTATGGGTGTTCCCAATTCACTTAATAAAACTAATAATGCAGTCTAAGTGCTTGATATAAGTCTAATTCAAGCTCGTGAATGAGCGATTGAATCCCCAGTTGTCAGCAATGTGTTCATTTTTTTCAATCATATATTTTTATAAAATTTCATGTTTAACATCATCATATAAATATTGTTTGTTGTGGGTCATTTTTGTTCAAAATTTTGAAATATTTTGAAGATGTATTGACAGTTTTACAGTGTCATCTCCTTGTAGGGGTTACTTCAGGAGAGCTTGGCATGCCCACCAAATCAAAAAAGACAATTAGGGTAGTTTATACCACAACCTAAAATCTCTATTCCACTACACTAAGAAAGTTTTATATGGGTTTTTGTAATTGCAAGATGTTAGAAAAGTAAATAAGCACATATTTTTGTGGGCTAACACATGTGAATAAATGTGTTATTTATGTTATCTTAAAGTTAAGTATAATTAATGTGATCTAATAAAATATAAGCTCATGGGCATTAAAATTTTTAATTATTGTAAAATTATATGTGTAGAGACCTATTTGTAATTTCAACTTTTATGATTGACAAAATTAGAATTGCAAATGTGTAAAAAATAACTACCCATAAGTAGTTATCTTAAAGGGTTATAGTCT